ATATATATATATATATATATATATATATATATATATATATTTTGAGAAGCCATATAAACAAACTCGAGCTCGTGTCTCACTGGGATATCCAAACACTCGAAAACAATGTATATGAAAACACTCGCGCTTCGCGCTCGTGTTTTCATACATTGTTTTCTCGTGTTTGGATATCCCGGTGAAACACTCGCTCTCGTTGTTCATATATTACATAATGGGATTCTATTTAAGGACTTTAAGAAATAGAAAACATTTTCCGTGTTTCTATAGAGTTATAGAAACACGCGTGAAAGTTTGGGAGAAACGAGAAATTGCGTGGGAACACGAGCACGAAGTGCGAGTGTTTCCACGCAATTTCAAGTTTCTCTCAAACTTTCACAAGTGTTTCTATAAACTCTATAGGAACACGGAAAAAATGTTTTCTATTTCCTTTATTAAATAGCCTTTTAAAAACAATAGAAAAGATAAATTTATTGACTTTAATTGCTTTCATTCAAATATTAATTCCACCTTAATATACGTTCGTGTAAAGTCTAAAGAATAATTATAAAAGCATAGCGAAGTAAACAAGTATATCGCTGTCAAAACAACAGACAGCACTTAACAGGCTTACTCTTATACAAAGTATATAATTCACCGAGCAACGTACATGCTTGCATGCAAAGAAAGCACTGTTTTAAATAGTTAGTGAACGTTTAAACAGTACTTAAAAACTGTAGTAAACATGATTGAAAACGTCGCGAGGAAATAATATTTTTTTAAAAAGACAAAGTAAAATTAAAATATCTTAACTTGGTAAACAGTCAAACAAATACAACGTGTGCTATTATACTTTGTGCTTTAGGTCTTCCCTTTCTAAGTTAGCAAAGTGTTGCCTTTTTTTGTAACGGTTCTTAATCGGCGTTTCGGGACGTTTTTCAACTTTTTTCAAAATTAAATGTTGTTTGTATTTTGTCTTTTAAACTCCCGCGCAATCCACGCAACCCGCGTGAAAATTCCCCGTGTTTCTATCGAGTTATAGAAACACGGGTTTTTTGAGCTTTTGACCAATCAGCGCCCGTGTTTTTAAAAGGCTATTTTATAAAATATTATATAAAATATATTCCTTTATCATCTCATGGAAAAACTCATGAATACAATTACAATCCACAAACCTTTGCATGACACAAAGTCACGTGCTAAGGAATATCCAGGCTTACAAGCACACATCACTCCGTAGTAAGTCTCCTTGCAGATATCCTCACACCCACCATTCCTGTTATTACAGCTATTGGATAAACGGGATTGTTGATAGTACGGATGTGGACGTTCTCTTATGACACCACCATTTATTGTTGCACCGGTTCCACCTCGACCAGAGTTCCTAGATGCGGTTCCTCCTAAATGAGAATTAACTACCTCATAAGTATCATCCTAATTTGTTTGGGTGGCAACAACAAGGGAGACAATCCATTTAATACATATATATTTTCCCAAATTGGCAGTTGTTCTACAGCCATGTCCTCTAGCTTATCAAATTACTCACAATCAATATGTCATATATAGTGGCATTATATCGCAAAAACATTATTCATCAACACTAGCAAACCGCAGTGTTCTATTCAGTATTCCTTAAGAACCCAATATTTATAGTAATATATATGGACAGGTTGTACGATTCCTTTAGAATTTTCATCATAAAATCGTGAGTTACTTGTGTTTCAAACCAACTAGAACAATCTTGCTACCTGTACAGGTCTTTTTATCAGCAGCCAGTGTTGAACCACTTGGGCAGCGACATTGAAAAGAACCAGGTAAGTTTAAGCAAGTGTGATTGCATCCACCATTTGAATTATTACATTCATTTGTGTCTATATAGAACATATATACATTTTCATAATTATAATACGACCTGCAGATATGCGTCCAACGCCTCGCCAACGCAGCTTGGTACATTTGATACAACAAAGTGACATCTGCCCATCCAGACTTGGATGAAATGTAATTGAGCAGAGTAATCGTACGACCACGATTTTTTCATGTATTTTTTATGTGGTGACAACCTGCTTTATTCGACAATATCATTTCTTTACTTCCTTTTTCTCTTTCGTTACATATATGACATTCTTCCACATTACCTTACATGCTGAGTCACTCTTGTTTTTGTTTCTTCATTCCCTTCATCATTCTTTCCCCCCCCCCTGCCTTCATTATTTCCATCTATCCCTTCCTTCGGCTTTTTCTTGCCTCAATCCTCCTTTTTCTTCTTTGTACCCCTTTCTTTTTACCCCATCTCTCCTTTCTTCTTCCATCTTCCTTCTTCCTTTGGCACCCACCCACCCTTACTTCTTTCCTTCCTTCATCCCAATATTCCCTCTTTACTTGCTATCATCCTTCTCAACCTCCATCCCTCTATCCTTTCATCTTTTCTTCCTTTCTTCACTCCCATATTCCTTTCTCAATTCGTTCTATTGTTCCTAACCATGAGGCCACAATTATTTACCTTTTCCTTCCTTATTTCCTTCCTTTCCTCGGCATCGTTCTCTACTATTTACGCCCAACAGTTTCATCCTAAATTGTTTTGCATTTCTTGTATTCCTTCGACACTACTATGTTCAATTATTTCCAGAAATTCGACGTTCTCTATCGCAGTTTTATCACCTTTTTCTTTCTACATCCTGACAACACCTATCCTAACTTTCTTAAATAATCAATTTTCTTACCTAAACAATTTTTCTTATCACTCTGCAATGTATAGCCAGCGTTACAAGTACAGTAATACCCGCCAACAGTGTTACAGCAGTTGTGCTCGCATCCACCATTTTGTGTCTTACACTCGTCCATATCTGAAGAATCAAAACAATATATAATTTTAATAAATTTAATTTTTTTTAATATAGTTACATTTAAACCTTGTAGAACTGAATCATCGAGCGAGATGTCCAAAATCGTGTGGTTAATGCTCGGCAACTGGTTATCTGTATATGAACTCTGTAGCTCAGTGGCTTAAGTTCTATTCTTACAGTTGCATTTTTTGCAGCTGTACCAAATCAGATCGAAAATTGTATACATTCATGCTGTCCTATCAAGTAAGATTTCTGTGTTTAACTAATTCATTTTTCAAGCCCCTTCCCATTCAAGTAGCAAGCTTACCATATTGACACTGTGATCCCTGAAATCCCCTGGGACAACGGCATCCTGTCGCACTTCCGGTACATCTTCCACCGCGCAAACATGGACGTACGGTACATGAACCTAGAAGATAAATATCAACAATGTCAGACTTTTTGAAGATGTGGTTGGAGAGATTAATGTTCCTATCTATAATATCGAGATTCAGATCGGTATTTGATGATGCAGAGCTGATTGCCCACATATCATCATGTCAGCATGGCACAAGTTTATCAGGACTTGCAGGTGATGCGAATTTAGGCACTCCATTAGCTTCTCAGAAGACTCAACAACACTAATATAAAGTGAAGGAATGTAAATTGTACTTCTGCAGACATCCATGTTTTGGTGTCCAACGCCTCATCAGTTGAGCACCGTATTCTTACCCATCAGCTTGCTCTCCACATAGAGATTATAAATAACACTAGAGGAGAATAGAGGAGGCATCGAGGTTAAAAATTGGGAACGCAGCTAATGGGGGGCAAATTCAAGTCCCGGATATGAAATCGTGCTCTCATTGGCTGATTTGAAACTCGTCACCAATGGGAACGTGAATACACATCCGGGACTTGAATTTCCCCCCCCAATAGCTGCGTTCCATTTTTTTAACTGAATTAAGATTACAATGCCTCCTCTAGTATTATTTATAATCTCTATGGCTCTCCAGACATACCACAAGGAATAAGTTTTGCATTATTGCTAACACCTATTGACATGGATTAGTCTAAATTGGATTTGTTACCACTCTCTCCGAGTTGTAAAAATGTTTCTGGAGTTATAAATGGAAATTACTGGAGTTGATACTTTATTTTATGTAATTATATACAGCATCAGCGGCCGTGTTTTATCAGACATAGAGAGGTTCTATGTCTCATACAACATGGATGAAAATTTACCTTGTTAATTTTGTAAAATTATAGAATATTAATATTATTATTATAAAATATTAATATAAGCCGAATGCAGGCACTTATAATCTTGCGAATTGGAATGAATGATTCTCCATGCGCGGTCATAAGCATGCATCTAGTTGATGTGACTTTGAATCCATTGACATTATTCCGATCACTTATTTCAGCATATAGGTATTACTGCAACCTCACCCCTCCCCTGGTGAATCCTGCGTACGGCCCTCCACGGATACGAATGTTATACACAGTATAGCTTGTTGAAGCGTAAGAATTTCAACAGTTGTATCGAAAACGAAATGATTTTAATTGAGAAAATCGGAGGAATTTTGTATATGCGGATTACAACACCTCATGTACATCACTTACTCAAGGAGCAGCCGGATCGCCGAGGGTACTGGGACCAGCCCTGACAACATTGGTATTCTGTTCGAAATTCAATCTTCGGTTGATTACGGTACATCGTGTAGTAGAAAGTACTGAAAAACATTACGAAGACATATGGATATTTGACAGGATAATAAAGCAAATTTTTGTTGGTATCTCACTTGATTGAATAATAGTCGAAGTGTGTTGTAGATGGAAATTATCAAGTGGAAATTGATATACATTTATTATAGACCCAACAAATGTAACAAATGTATATAAATTTCCACTCATAAATGTATATAAACTTCCACTTGATAATTTCCGTTTACAAGACCCTCAAATAATAAAGCACTAGACCTAGACTAGATTAGCTAAAGTTTGCTTCGGCAGTAAATACAAATCATTACAGACAAATATATAAAGGCACAGTTCAGATAGAACTACTGTACTCAGGAGTATATACTGTAGACGTACTCAGGAGTATATACTGTAGACAGAGTGTAGTTTAGATGAGGGCAAATAGGTGCTTTTAAGAGGCAAATAAAGCGTGATACACCTGTATGTTTTAGCTTGAAAATAGGACAGAACAGCACCGAACAGATATTCACTAGACGCGATAGAACTATCCAGGACAAAATGTTAATTGTTAAATATAGTACATAACAAACCATTCATGTCCAGACGGATAATTCGTTAAAAACATAAAGCCAGGCAGCGCCACTATATCACATCTTATAAAGACTCACCGCAACTGTGAAGTATAACACAGCTCCCGTGGTCTAAGACAGCCTGGTTGTAATACTCGTACATTCTTCGTGATCGCTTTTCTCTCTGGTTGCCTTTCATAAGTCACAAATCGTCGCTGGAAAGAACACACATTTGGCCTACAAAGCAAAAGAGTTTTAAGGCCGTTTTCCACTTCAAACGTATCGTACCGATACTGAAACGTGGCCGGTATTTCTTTGTTCCAAAAAGGCAATTCTACAGGGTGTCCCTGAACTATTGAAATCACCAATTACAATTTAATTTTTAGCACTCTGTTGGTTCCCACGAGTGCATAAATGATTGACATAAGTAAATTTTATGCATAAAGAAACTATTTAAGAAGCTGCTTTAAATTCCCAAGAGCAGAAAATCGCGCACTTTACAAGGAGATGTTCTTAACTAAATTTTAATACATGCACCTTGCCAATATTTCACGCATCATTACATTCAGCTTTTTGGTAGAGCATTCAAATTTTAACAATAAGTGATCATGTACAGGGTGTCCCAAAAAAACCCGAAAAGTATTGAAATCACCAATAACAATTTAATTGTTAGAATTTGAATGCCTTAGCGCTCTGTTGGTTCCCACGAGTGCATAAATGATTGACATAAGTAAATTTTATGCATAAATAAACTGTTTAAGAAGCTGTTTTTAATTCCCAGGAGCAGAAAATCGCGCACTTTACCAGGAGATCGTCCTAACTAAATTCTAATACATGCACCTTGTCAATATTTTACGCATCATTACGTCCAGCTGTTTGGTGGGGCATTCAAATTTAACAATAAGTGATTTCAATAGTTTTCGGTTTTTTTGGGACACCCTGTACAGTACAAGGTGTCCCCAAACCCCCAAAACTATTGAAATAACGTATTGTTAGAATTTGAATGCCTCAGCACTCTGCTGCATAAAAGCTTGACATAAGTAAATTTCATGCAGAAAATCGTGGGCTTTACAAAGATAGTTTAATTTCTTAATAAATTAATATTTATAATATATGCACCCTAATATACGCATCTTTGCGTTCAGCTTAGTGCTAGGGCATTCAAATTATAACAATACGTTATTTCAATAGTTTTGGTTTTTTTGGGAAAAGGCAATTATACGGTACGTTATGATACGCTTCAAATGGACTGTGATTGGATGGCGTGCATGAGAAAAGTGGGATTTCAGAAACAATGAAAAGACAATGGTCAATGCATCCAGTATAGGGTGTCCCAAAAAAAACCAAAACTATTGAAATAACGTATTGTTAGAATTTGCATGCCCTAGCACTAAGCTGAACGCAATTAAAATTGTTAAGAAATTAAAATATCTTTGTATAAAGCGCACGATTTTCTGCTCTTGGAAATTTAAAGCAGCTTCTTAAACAGTTTCTTTATGCATAATATTTACTTATGTCAAGCTTTTATGCACTTGTGGATTCAGCAGAGTGTTGAGGCATTCAAATTCTAACAATACGTCATTTCAATAGTTTTGGGGTTTTTTGGGACACCCTGTATGTTAATGAAGTATGTCTTTTTGACCGCTTATTAATTTATGCAGCAATTTTCAGTCTAGATCCTTCAGTTCAGGGCAGAATGACTGAGCAGGAAATGAGTTTTCCGAACCTATTTTTTTTTTATTATACCGGAAGAGAATGCATCTTACCCTCCTCCCCGTCCGTACATTCTGCATGTGTTCGTCCGTACATTCTTTCATATGATTAGAAGCTATTTTAAAAACCCAGCCCCAGGAGCGTAAAATCTTGTGCTTAACAACAGTCAGTAGCTTGATTTCTAAAGGTCTAGTTTTCTTATACACCCTACATTATACCTGTATAAGTACGGTTGACTGATTATAATTATAACATTATTCAATATTGAATTATAATATTGCTCAATTTACTGCAAAAATTCCTTGTCTTCACCATGTACAAGTTTGTATGAACTTGAACAAAAAGATAAAATAAATTCAGAGATGATTCTCGCTTAGTGAAGCCTCTTAGTTGTCGGGATAATACAACAAGACTCTAGTCTTGTTTACGTTTTTAATGCCAGGGTGGATGAAAGTTTATACTAAAATAATTTCCGTTTACTGTTATCACAAAACTGTTCTATTTATCCAAAGCATTTATCAAAACCTGGTTATCATTTATCAGTTATGTTGGCATGAAGCTTTTTCTCATGTCATAATGTCATCGATCAAATAAAAGTCAGAGAGATAAGGTTTTGGATATTACCATGCAGTGCAACACGTCAGAGACTATTTTAGGATAAAGCTTGTTCTATACACATCACACTGGCAGGGGACTAACCCCTTAAAAGATTAAAAACTATATGCTACTTGCATCATGCAATGTTGGAACACAGTGAACGACTTTACTCTGGAGTCTGGTGCAATGCCAATGAAGTATGTTTTTTGACCGCTTATTAATTTGTGCAGCAATTTTCAGTCCTGAGGTTCTTCAATTCAGAGCAGAATGAGCAGGAAATGGGTTTTCCGAAACTATTGTTTTTTAACTTATACCGCAAGAGAGAATACATCTCACCCCCTCCCCGCCATATATTCTGTGTTCATCCTAAATCTCAGCTCCTTCACGTTTAAATACAGACCTTGCGACCTAGGATGCAACGTGATGACGTGGCCAGAACAAACTCATTCAAATAAATTGTTGTAAAAAAAAATTGTTGTGTGTTATCAATCACACGATGTTAAGGTGGCTCTTTTTTAGAAATGGAAAATTTGTGATTTAAATTAGATCGGCATTTTTGGACAAGTTGAGTATCACTTCTCGTGGCTTGAAATGCAGGCATTGTACACAAGACGTGAACATCTGGTGGCAACCGTTGTAGAAAACAGAGCGAGAACGACGTCCAAAAACCCCCGTGCCGTGTACATTAATTATTCATCTGTTTTCTTAAATACTATGAATTTAGTTCATTTTATTAAATAGGTCCGTCGTCGTCACGTTGCCATCCCACGTCACAAGGTTGCAGAATATGCGTCAAACACAGAGCAGGGGTTGCTTTATGAAAATATGGTGAGCGCAATGAAGTGTACAGTTGGTAGACATTTTACCACGAAGGTGACGACGTTTTAATACAAAAACTTAACATCACTGCGCAATACGTTAAAAAAAATCACAAAACCAAATAAATTGTTGAAGGTAAAATCATTTTTTTAATAAAAGATAACATAATTTTTTTAACACATCAACATTGTCATGAGATTTCGTTAAGATCCACACAGTATACTGCCGCTCCCATTAAATGGGCTCGGTAACAAAGTAACAAAATATAAATTTCACGTTGTTATTGTAATTCCGCATTGTAATGAAAAGGCATTGTTGGCTATTTTTCTCACTCTGTAAATGCGTATCCAAAGCTAAATAAATACTTTCTCCACCCAGGAGTTGCTTATATCGCGCTTCCGGCGGCATCGCTTGACACGTAAATCTGATTTAAATGACTAGCATCTTATCCAGATATAGAAAAGCCGGTATATTTCAAACTTCATATTTTGCATGTCAAAACGTTACATTTCATATCAGGCCTACTATGGCGAAATGCGAAGGAGTCTGAAACAATATAGACTTGTAAAAATCTTTTAATTCGACGCAAACAAACCAGTGTCAAACCTAATGGGAATAGTATGCGACACCATATGAAATGGCGAAAATTCAAACAGACCTTACAAACCTTGATTCTTCTATAAGTTGGACTAAAACGCGTATTATTCAAAAAATGGTGTTTATACCGGTTCGACTTTTGAAAGAAGAACTTCTATTTTGTACAGGACTCACAGGAGAACGAACACTCGTCAAAGAGAAAACTTTTAGTCTAATAGAAATATCAGCAATGTAAGCTACTAAGCGAAAATATTGTGATGAAATATCATTGATGGAAACAAACCAATTAATGTTCATAATTTGGTTACGTGAATAAATTTAGATTAGTTTATTTGCAAACAATACAAGAAATTACAGACAAGAATGAATTACAAAAAATAATAAAGCGGACGAAATACAATAAAGGTGACATTGGGATTCGCCATAGCAATGAATCGCGTTGACCATACGATAATTACAATCAAAACATCAAGCATAATTGTTCCAATGATCAGATATACACATATGGATTACGCTATTCTAGCTTATTTTTAGATAGCTTGTCTTGTGGTTACACAAACATGGATTATGCGTCAGACAGATGGTGATAATCCATCTTTGATTTATTAATTCGGGCTGGTGATCAGTTTTCCAATAATAAACTACCTTCAACACAGATCTAAGGTCGCATATGTTTTCGTGTCGGCATGTTTTCTTAATTAACGACGAAACCTAAACGTGATAAACAATTAGCATATCATGCGCAAATATCACGCACGTTATGCTACAATAAAGATATGTGCGATGTTACTTTTGAACGCAATTTGCAAATTATGCGCAAACACTTGACCTATAACCCCAAGTACGGTGCGCAAACCTCAAATTTCTCATAATTCTAAAATTTTCGGTGGTCGAAAGCAGGTAGCAAAACAGATGGAAAAAATTAGACGCAATAAATGCGTTCGCAGTAGTCTGCCAGTAGACAAGTGTGTGGTGGTGAATAATTCGTAAAACAAGTTGACGAATGATGGATTAATAGATGCATGCTAAAATAACAATTGTACATGTTTGGTGCCTTGCCAGCAGAGTCAGAAGAGGTTTCCTCTCGTGTAGCATTACTGGGACAATAAGATGCCTTGGCTTTAGGGAGAACAGTTTAGAACTGATAGAGAAGATATCCAGTACAAATTAATTTAATTTAATATTCACTTTACTCCTGTAGTGGAATTGAAACGATGAAAGATAGGCTCTCCATTGGACCTTTAGGGTAAACAGTTTAGAACGGATGGTTAACTATATTACTCTTTTCACCAGCTGTTGTCCTATACCAAAATTTGCAAATCTGTTAAAAGGTCAATAGCAATAAGATTTCCGTCGTTAAATGTCAGGCTCCCTGTGGGTAGTTTAAATTATAAGGTGTGATTAATTGGCGTTCACCCATTAAAGTTGTGAAAAGACATGAGAGAATTGAAGCAATTTGCTCATTAGACAAATAACCAAAACCATGAAATTTAATTGAAAGAGCAAAATACACCAATTACATTCATATTGGAAAGCTCTACCAGTTCTAAACTATTTTTCCTAATGATTCATGCCTTAGGCTTAGGAAAGTACATGTTACCACAGGAGGGTTCCGGAGAAACCACCATGCAGTGTTTGGCGCAGATTTTAACTCACGTACGCAATTGAAAATAATATACTCAGATAGCTCCATATTTTTGGAATTGGGACCATTGCAAAGATGAAATCCTACCAATATAGCATATGCCACCAATACTAGATCCGCATATAGCATCGAGAATGAACGGCAGTCTGGTGCGATTACAAAGAAAATACAGTATCATCTCACAAATTTTGACCAAACTCTGCTTTCTTCAAAGAAATGTTTGACAGTGTAAACCAGCAGTTAAATAGGGGTGCACTTCACACACTTCCAACAAACTGTGCTTTTATGTACAAAGAACGTTTTATGTAATGGTATAAGCAATAAAACACTACTTACATCTGCGAAGACAGCTGGTAATTCCAATTCTGTGAGGCAACTTGCCTTGCAACCAATACCAAAGACAAGATTACAAAAACATGCATATCTATTGCGCGGTGATTCTTGAGCTGAAATAGCAAATGGAAGAACACGATGTTAAAAGATTGGTTTATCTATCGATGTGTAGCACTCCACGAGCAAAACAAACTAGAGATTTCTCTTGACCAAACTACAATAGCTATTCAAAGAATATAAATTGCATTGCCCAATCTTTGAAAATGCAGCTGGGTCTGCGGTACCAAAACAGAACTCCGTCAGTTTCCGTGTAACAAAATCAATATTATACAGTAATGTAGCAATATATATGAATTGGATTCCAATTCCATCCATGTTCGATGCCGTACATCGTAACACGTTTTCTATATTTTACCTCATCGGATTATCTAAATCAGAGATTGAAATGAGACTGCTACAATCATCTCCAAAATGGTTGATCCAATCTATCCGCGTCGTCTCTCAATACACCATATTCCGCTAAACAAACACTTACTGTACTTGAGATGTACTTGAGCTGTACTTGGGCAAAAGTTGCGCTAATAATATAACGCAATCTTTGAAAACAAGTCCTCCAATGGAGAACTGCTCACAGTAATAAAACATTAAATATGTGTTTATCAGGGAATTGATTCAAATTCAATGCGTGCGTGTATGTTTGCTATATTACCTATCTATACCTTATCTGCTGTGGCCTACCTAATGAGAAAGCCTGCGATTGAGCTAAAATCAGACGACATAATGTTACTTGACACCTCACAAAGGCTCTCTATATCATTATATTTTATTTTGCAAAGTTCCTGCATCAAATAATCTAAGATCAACTAATATACAATAACCTCAGGATTATAGCCATGAAATTTGCTAAGAAGTCGGTTCTACTGTTAGTATAGAGAATTGAAGAACGCAATATCCGAAATGGCTCTTCTTTTGATACGGTTCGCGCAAATCTCAAAGACTTCAATGTAATCAAACCCAACATTGTATAACAAGCGAATCGGTCCATATTATTATACAATGTTCTTGTAGATTATGGCAAATTAAATTTCGATAACACCAGATTGAACTGAAAAAGATATTCGAGGAAAAACCTATTGCTCTGTACAATTCTTGCAGTAAACAATAAATAACCATAAGTGCACTACCACCGATTTGATCCCAGATTCCCAATTCAACGCATGCATGTCTGTATATGTTACTATATATTGCCTTCCAGTACAGAGGTTTGCAGATCTCTCGCAGTAAACAAACCAATACTGTCAAATACTTTTGTCCGGATGTATGCACCAAGGCATACAACCTTAGCAAAACGCTACGATTGAACTGAACACAACCTTTTCAATAGAATTCACTGTAAGACTTCACAGTGTACAAATTCAAATATGCGCGCACATATCAACTATGTAATAATAAATATACCTTGTCGATTTAATCCACGTATTCCAGCAAGACTTGAACAAACTTACAAACTAAGCACAACCTTTCAATAGAATGCTCTGCAATCTCTCACAGTGAACAAAGCAATATTATATAGCACGGGATTCGATCCAATTCGATGCGCGCACGTCTATAGTATAACACTATAATCTTATCTAATTCAGCCGCGCGCTTTTATCTCGTATCTTTTCACTCTTATCGTCGTCTGACAGATGACGGGGCCATTAAATCAACCAAAGCATCAGTTTCCGCTCCAGGCTAAGGCGGACGTGAATGTATGGATTACATATTTCTTTCGTCTGTTCATGTTTTTATAAGACGAGGGTTTTTTTTGTCCATGAATATATCAGCGTGAAATAGGATATGCATGCATGCAGAGCAAATGTGCGTGTCCCACGAGAGATTCGTCGAGGTTAAGGCCATACCTGAGAAAGCATGCATCCGACCTGAAATTTTTATATTTTTTGAAAATTACTTCGTCAATGAACTTACTAGATCGATCGTTTTTGAAGAAATTTAAAAAATTCGCATTGTGTGTTTTATCAGACCTAAAGATACTCGGCTTTGCCTCATATCTTTATATCTGATAAAACACTGCTGCTCATGCTTTAAATAGTATAACTTCATGATCAAAATTTGTATACGAAGTTAATGTACTATTTAAAACATGAGCAGCAGTGTTTTATCAGATATAAAGATACGAGGCAAAGCCGAGTATCAGTTAGGTCTGATAAAACACCTATTTCAATTTTTCCAGGGCGGGCGGGAGGGGAAGTCTGTTCCAAAGAAAAACAATCCGGTTGAAAAACGAGTCTTTGAGAAGCAAAACATTTTTTAAGACCATGGGCTGGTGGGGCATTTGCCCCACTGGGCCCATTCCTCTGCCTCACCACTGGAGAAAAAAAGGCCTATTGGCCCAAAGTCAGGGCTCTATAGGACCTGTATTGAGTAAATGAGTTAATTAACTAACATTGAAAAGAAGTTTAATTTAAAAAACAAAATGTGTTGGTGAGCATACTTAAACTTATGTTGTATTTGAATGTTTAGCATGCAATTTATTACAAATTTCACCATTAAAACTTTGTTTTGAGAAGCTGAGAGTTTAAAAAAAAAAAGTGTTCTCATTCATTCAGAATTGAGGAAATGCTATTTCAGAGACCCAAATTTTAAGATCTGGACCCCCTAACCTTCGGCGATCTCATGCTATATCCTGGGGGAGGTGAAGGAAAATGGCCCATTTGGCAGTTTTGCCCCACCACTGAAGAATCCTTAAAAAATGCACTGCTAAAAAGAGAAGTTCTGCGAAGGTTAGGAGTTGAGACAATAGAGGGGTTAAGATACCCCGGTTCCGGTTTACGGGTACGAGTGTCGCCATTTTGTTTACCAATTTTTGCTGATGTCAGCAATTTTACCCGTAATTTCTACCCGTTTCCCCGCGGTAAACAGTGGTCTACACGTAAACGACAGGTGTGTCGTACGGGTGTTTTCTGTTTACTATTTTTGGGCCGTTTAAATAGTACAACTTTTCAACATCTTACCCAAATAAATAATGCACATATGCTGGTCAAAATTTTCAACAATTTATGGCGAACCTCAACAGCGAAAGTTGCCATTCTCTGATCGGTTCTCTCACGCCGGAGTATCTTGGATCTCTTAAGTTACAAGTTATTCCCCGATTTACGGGTACGGGTACATGTATATCACCCGTACCCGTAAACCGGAATCGGGGTATCTTAACCTCTCTAATCTGAAGAGAAAGTGACACTGAAAAGAAGAGACATCTACTTCATAAAGACCTTTTAAACACTTGAAAAAGCAATTTCGTGCATTCACTGCATGTTAATATTTGTTAAAACATATCAGTATTTCCAGAGACGTAGCGACCGGGGGTGTGGGGGAAAATTCAATAAAGTCATTATTTTTGTGAAATGATAACCATTTTTGTAAAATACAGTCAATTTACATCCAATTCGTTTGCGAATTTGCTTTAGAAAACGCCAGAAATGTGGTCCTAGAGCTTCGAAAATGTAAAAGTTTCCTGGCGGGACCCCCAGCTCCCCTTTTCTTCCGAATCTTAGTATGACAGAGAAAATCAATCACCGAAAAAGGCATTATAATTATCACACTTGAGGTAAAATTTTAACATTGAAGTTCAAATTTCAGGTTAAATCCACCGACGCCCTCCCCCCCCCGAACTCAGTTCAGATGCTTCGCTACGTCCCTGAGTATATCAGTGTGTTAATGTGCGTTTGTGTCCCTAATTATATGTTATAACTATTGTTGTTCGTTCGATCAACCTATACGATCAGTTCATATATTGTTTAACTTTTTATTCGATCTATTGACGGGTTTACTTCTATCCTTTACAGTCAGAAACTTTCTAAATCGTCACGTTAAAGACCCACATGCCAAATGTTGGGTTTTTTCAAACGCGTTTTCAACATTGTAAGTCAATTTTAATTTAGCGTTGAACTACATGTATCGTAGGATTGAAATATATCATCAAGATGTTAAATTTCTTGGTATTTACACAAATAGCAGATCGAGAAAGTTTTACAAAATTATTCAGAATTTACGAAATATTTCACGGAAAAGCTTGTTCCAGGTCTTTCCAATCAAACTGATAGAGAGAGCATTTCTGCTATGACCAGTCTTTGTAAACGGAAGGCATGTCCTATGGATATAGATCTCACAGTAAATAAATTAACAAGTATACGTAGAGGAAAAAATTTTGACAGCTTGAAAAAGTCACCATCCAGTAGATTTGTGTACATCGCTCTTCGCGACCCAGGGATCAGAAGTAGAATTGCATGGGGCTCAGGGTGGCTTATCCCTTGTTAATTCCTTTCTGTTTGGGGGAGGGGGGTAAGCCCCCTCAGAATTAAGGCGAAATAAACTTTAATAAAATAACAAATTCTTGCAGATTTGTTATTATTGTACAACCAAAATACAGTTATCAGCCAGTTCATTTCCGTTCAATTCAGTGTACGCTAATTTCTGAGAGCATTTCTGCTATGACCAGTCTTTGTAAACGGAAGGCATGTCCTATGGATATAGATCTCACAGTAAATAAATTAACAAGTATACGTAGAGGAAAAAATTTTGACAGCTTGAAAAAGTCACCATCCAGTAGATTTGTGTACATCGCTCTTCGCGACCCAGGGATCAGAAGTAGAATTGCATGGGGCTCAGGGTGGCTTATCCCTTGTTAATTCCTTTCTGTTTGGGGGAGGGGGGTAAGCCCCCTCAGAATTAAGGCGAAATAAACTTTAATAAAATAACAAATTCTTGCAGATTTGTTATTATTGTACAACCAAAATACAGTTATCAGCCAGTTCATTTCCGTTCAATTCAGTGTACGCTAATTTCTGAGAGCATTTCTGCTATGACCAGTCTTTGTAAACGGAAGGCATGTCCTATGGATATAGATCTCACAGTAAATAAATTAACAAGTATACGTAGAGGAAAAAATTTTGACAGCTTGAAAAAGTCACCATCCAGTAGATTTGTGTACATCGCTCTTCGCGACCCAGGGATCAGAAGTAGAATTGTATGGGGCTCAGGGTGGCTTATCCCTTGTTAATTCCTTTCTGTTTGGGGGGGGGGGGATAAGCCCCCTCAGAATTAAGGCAGAAATAAACTTTAATAACATAACAAATTCTTGCAGATTTGTTATTATTGTACAACCAAAATACAGTTATCAGCCAGTTCATTTCCGTTCAATTCAGTGTACGCTAATTTCTGACAAATGAGTCCTGTAGTGATTTTTTGTCACAGTATACTAAAACTATACATTTCATAACAGCACATAAAATGTATTAGGAAATCGTGTTTCATATAGACCCGAGGATCGAAAATTTTCTGGCCTTTCATTGCCCAAGGCATCCCTTGAACCCCCTTGTTAAAACTTATACAGCCGACTGATTAATTGGAGCTATATACTACAGCACTGAGGCACCAATTCTCGATGCGTAGTTATTCTTATAGCAAAAATTACTGTGTAAAAATGATATCTCACATGAAAGAGGCGAGGGTTGTTTACCATTTACATGGAAAGTCCGGTTTGAATTAAATCGGGAAGAGCCTGGAACTGGTGAAAAAATAAAAAAGATGTAAATGGAACAAAATTCACCGATTGGAACGTTCCAATCGGTAAGATCGTGAGGACAACCTTTTCAAACAAATCGTTCATTCGGGAAAAGTTCCGGTTGGGCAGTCGAAATATGCTTGTTCCATTTACTTTCCGAGATCTCGTTTATCGGGATGAAATTTTTTCTATATAGACACTGACAAGCGGGCTGGCCCGGTTGCCGGAAGGAGAGTTCAAAGATGCCGCGGCGAGCTATTTCTAACAAATGTCGACTGGGATGAAATTTTTTGGAATGAAATTTTCTCGACAACAAATAACACGTACTGTCTAGCTGAGCGGGCCAGCCCGGCTTCCATATATCCATATAAACAGCCCCTTAGTCTTTAATTTAAAAAAGAGAGCAACGTATGTATACATGATATTAAATATTAATGTTTCTTGTCACAATATTAAAGAGACTCATCAAGCTTCGCATCGATAATTGAAAGCTATACCTCCAAATTACTTTGCAACGAATGACGCTCGGGATTGCCCCGGCCCACGCTGGGAAAGATTGAAATATCTCATCTGGCAATTCCATTCTAATTTAATATATTGTGATTGAACATTATTATAGTCGATGACCGAATCTTAATGCAATAAAATTGTATTAAAATTTCATACTGTTATTAGTTTAAACTATAGCACATATAGGCAGCCCTACCAATACAAAATAAATAGTTGTAAAATATATGTTCAACAGTTTAAGAATATAATAGTTTTGTCTGTGGAAACACCACGTAAATTTATTACTGCAAAGCTTTCGATCCGTAAGCTTTCGATCCGTAATCGAAAGCTTTCGATCCGTAATCGAAAGCTTTGCAGTAATAAATTTACGTGGTGTTTCCACAAACAAAACTATTATATTTTATCACCATGCAAACATACAAAGAACTTAGTTTAAGAATATGTTGAAAGAGTTTTTGACATTCGATCGGACCATGCAGCGACTCATTATGATATCTCATTAAGACATTATGTATCTCATTATATGTATCTCATTATGTATGATTGTCTAGTCGCATGATAGCTGGCTGCCTATGATTTGAGATTTACATTGGAGGATCGAGGATTATGGGTCAAGTGCATGTCGAGAGTAAAAAATTCTAGGAGAAAAGTAGAGTATCTAGGCTGAAAAAATAAGTTAAACCCAACCTATATAGTTAATATACGATAATCTCTTAGTACGGGCATAGTTTTTGCATGTCAGTCCTCGATATCGCAAAAGGTACGCAAAGACAATACATTTTCTAATGAAGATATGACTTGGTTAATTAGTACAGTGACAACAGTAACGAAGTTTCAACTAATGTAGAAATGCTATTTTCACACTGATAGAAACCCAGAGAACATTTCAATTTTTAGTTTCACTCAAAACAAAAACTTTTTCATTTCAAAATTTCATCAGTAAAAATTCACAATATATTGCTACAAAATGATGTTATCCCGAAATGAAATCAGATTAAGCTTTGAGGCTACTGTACTTGTAAGTTTAATATCAGTCATGTTTTAACTTGCCTGTCCGGGGTTTTGGTAAATGAATTACGTAATTCCATTCACGATTCAACGTTTCGACACTCCATGCGTCTGGTGCAATCTTCACCAATTAAATCTCTTGCAAGATCCGCAAAATCCCTTTCAAAATCCCTAAAATCTCTTCCAAATTCTAAAATCTTATAAAAAAATTAGTATCCTTTAAAATCCTTTGAAAATCTCGCAAAATCCCCAAGAGTATCTCTGCAGATATTTTAGATTCCCATAAATATCCTCGAACGCTTTTTGTACGAAATTTCGTTGTAAGTTGCAGAAAATATTGTCTCGTGTATAGCATGACCTTAAATTTGAAATCACTTTTTGGTTTTAATTTCCCTTAAATATTAGTGACAATTTCCTCAAACCTCAGTATTTTACCCACAACATTACCCTCGACCTTTTCTCCTCGACACGAGTTATTTTGTCATTAGGACACCGGGTAAAAAAGTAATTACTTTTCACGGGTATAAATTAAAAGCTGTTACACTCACTGAAGGATGTATAATTAATTGGATGTGATGAAACCGAAAGCTTAAATTAAGATAATGTAATAATATAACGAATAGAGCAAATATCGCTTGAAACAAGCCCAGGCAAATATGAAAGATTTAAGGTTGAAAATTATTGCATGGATGAAAAAATCTATGTCATGGACAATTACACAGAATTTAGATGTCCAGAAATTAGTTAGTACAGTATTTTGCTCAAATTTAATATGAAAGAACAGTGCTATGGGAATGAATCGGTAAAAAGCATCTTCAAAGGTATTCGTGACTACCGTGAATTCTTTATTTGTATTGCATGAATAGGCCTACAACTTTATCAGTTCTGAACTGTTCTTCCTATAGTGGACAGGCCTGAGCGGCATCACAGTGGTTCTGTTTTAGATGCAGACAACAGAGAACAAAACTAACTTTACAACATATCTGTTCTAAATTGTTTTCCTTGGACGCCCATATAAGGGTCATCCTACTACCGGAGCAAACTGTATGAATGCAGTATATAACCAAAGAAACTGTAACTTGAAAACTTAATCACCAATACTGCAGGAATAGTTTGCTCCGGTCGCAGAAGTATTTCAAGTATTAAATAAATTATTTTAGTTCGCTCATAATTGAATAACACAAACAGCCCTTGTGAGCCTTTCCCGCGCATTTCAGTTCTTACCGGTGGACGCGAACGAGGTACAGTATGAATAAAATTAGTCTAGTATCATATACGTATATATATATATATATATACATATATACAGCTAATTCAATAAAGGTTGTCCTTTGAAACCTTAAACTCTAAAACCTTAAACCTGAAACTCTAAGTGCGCAAAGCATAATGGGATCACGATTTAAGCAGTTTAGAAAGCATATATGGAGCCCATTTCTTGGAGACATGATAAATACCTCAAAATTCCGCAATATACGTATATATACGTATATATATACGTATATAAACGTATATATATATATATATATATATATATATATATATATATATATATATATATATATATATATATATATATATATATATATATATATATATATATATATATATATATATATATATATATATATATATATATATATATATATATATATATATATATATATATATATATATATATATAGATTCCTGCAATACTATAGTATGATTAAATTTTCCCAATTATTTGAATGTGAGAAGAATGTTTCAATTAACTAAATTAAGATATACGTTTTTGGTTACTGCTAGAAAATTGCAGATGAATAAGGATTCAGCTACCTGAACAATACAAGTAAAACTTCGTAATTTATATATAAATACAGTATGTTGCCCACTTTTCGGACAGTACCACTATGTTCGGACGAAATATTTTTAACGCTAAATTTTTGTATGTAGAATAGTAAAAAATTAAAACATAGGTTCAGCTGACTCATGTCATAAATCTTGACTCTATTGCCTGCATGCAAACATATATATATATATATATATATATATATATATATAAAATTTAAAATAATGATTATTTTTACTCCAACAGAAAATTGTCATGTTAAATTGGCACCAACGAGTAAGCTATACTTCACTGTTGTGCAATTTATATTGTGGACAAGCATCCCAAGATCACTTACGGCATCTCAAATTAGCCCCAAGCCTCCACGATTGAGCATATTGTACCTCACCGATAGACCGCTGACTGACAAGATAAAAACATCGCTGGCTCAATTTGAAAGCAAACTTGCAAGCAGTACCAGATTTAACCAAACAGTCCAGTTAACAACCCAAGTCCTTTCGCAGAACGCTACCACAATATTGGATACGTTACGCGTGCTGAAGAAATGCGTCCGATGGGAGGAAACGGAAGTTATTATTGTCAATCTGAACGATGAAAAAGTAAAAAAGATGGTATTATGTGGTTATAGAGGACTGGTGTTTGACATCAAAACGAGGCCAAGAGATATGCAACAGGTATTAATTATAGATAAACAGGGAACAATACTGTAGATGTTGATTCTCGCTAACGTGACAAAAAGATGTTCCAACTGAACATTCTTTGTGCGATGCTATACTGTTCGAAACAAACGCCACGATCTTATGACATCACGCTTGACAGACCATACCCCAATCTTATGACATAACGCTACTAACTCTTGACGAAGGGCCTTCGCTCGAAACGTCGAGTTTCTGCTTATTTTTTAAGGTAGTAATATAACCACTCAGCACATGCAGCATACCCCGAAGTAATGCATGCAAATTAAGTTAATGTACATTCGGACAAGTCAATGTTCATGACCCCCATCTTATCCCGTTTAATGCTGGCAACAACTTCCAAGCAACTCAGTTTGGCAATAATTTATCATGACACTTTGCTATATAAATCTGTCTGGGAACGAGTCTGAGTTTTGAGTCTGGCAACGAGGTTGATATTACGTGAGAGTAGTGCATGGGGATTAAAGAGCGCAACATGTTGTGATGAGCATTTCTTTTTAGGGGTGTGCGAATTTGATGAAAATGAAGAAGTAGTCGATCTCCACCATGCGTCATGTGCAAAATTGCACTTTTTCTCACAAAGCGAAAGGAAGAAATTAACTTCGGCAATATGTTGAAAAAATTCTTCACAAAAATATAGGAAACGAATCCAACATTTTCCCGTCCAAAGATTTTTCCACACTGACAAGTAAAATCAATTCATTGAGCATTAGACAGAGTATAGAACATTAAACGACATCGTACACATATGATCGGTATGGTCGCAAAAGAATGGACCTATTACCTAATGAACAAAATTTTGATCTAGACAAGTCTAGACAAAAATTTCATCACAGCTTGAAAGAGCGTCACAAAATTAGTAATATTCCGAAGTTTCGTTACGAAATGTTGTAAAATGCGGATAATATAGTCCTGCGAAGTTTGCCGTTTTTCAGTCATTTTGTATTACGCGCGGGAAATTGATACCTTTTTTCAGAAAGCGGTATCAATTTCCCGTGCGTAATACAAAATGAATGAAAAACGGCAAACTTCGCAGGGCTATATTATCCGCATTTTTCAATATTTCGCAAGGAAACTTCGGAATATTACTAATTTTGTGATGCTCTTTCAAGCCGTGATGAAATTTATGTCTAGATCAAAATTTTGTTTATTAGGTAATAGGTCCATTACGATCAAAAAATAAAGTATACCTGTGCCATGCATTTACTTTTGATTACTGTAAGTAATAGCAAGTAAGAACTTTTAAAAATTTAGCTTTCCTAATGGCCTAGCTGTTTATGTACAGATCCTTCTTCGAATGTCAGGCAACTTGAGGGAATTAGAAAGCTAGAGTGCTAATTAAATTAAATTAAAAGCAGTGATCTCCATATATATATCTGGAGTAAGAACTCGCGTCCAAAATGTAAAGATGGCGGAAATCGACGTCCGGCGCCAGTCCCCTAATTCTTTCTGTCTTCGCGGTTAACATGTACCGGCTGCATGCACGGAGTGTGCCGAAATCGGCCATGTTTTGACTTCAATTTTAAGATTAATATTATGGTTTTATGGGCAGATAATTTGATTAGCAATACGATCCATTAGAAAAAATACAATTAGCCGTAACGAAAACTGTTTACGACCTTCATAGATATTGGACGTCGATTTCCACAATTTTTTTGTCTTTTCTCATGGGCCAAATGACTGCGGAAGTTCTAGATCCAGTTATATGTAGAGCTCACTGACTAAAAGTCGGTTCCTTTTACTCCCTTTGCAGACATCCTACAATGTGCTCACCGTAAAACCATCGCTCACACGGCTTCACGAATCTGTAGAAAAAATTTTCGGCGAAATCGGGTACACGAAGATGCACGAAGTCGAATGCTTCACCCGTCTACAATCAGAAATCACGAAAATGAAACAAACTTTGGAAAACATTAAAGATAGCTCGCATACGTTCATATTCGTAAAATGTTTGGTGAATCTGGACCTTATTCTGCAACACGCTAACGAAATTGGCCTCACAACCAGTGACTTCCGCTGGGTTTTTCCAGGAGTAATAACCTTGAAAGAAATATCAAATAATTTACCTCAAAATGTGATAGCCATTGATTTGCCTGGGTCAGGTGACAGGCGTCAGTCAATGGTGGAGGATAATTTATTGTTTCTTGGCGACGTGCTAAGTGTCCTAGAAATGACGTTGGAAGATAATTTTGAGAATTTATTGGCAGGAAAGATGTGGAATTCTGCAAGGCACACCACTTCCTTAAAAAGGCAAGTTCTAAAGCCAGATTTGCAGAGATTTGCAATGTTGTAGATTAATCAGTGATATATTTTTTACTCTATTCAGATACATTGTGAAAGAACAATTCTCTGGTGACACAGGGGATGTGCTATTTAACGCGGATGGGCAACGTTCTGGAGAAACCTATGAAATTTTCGAGCTTATAACATTTAATGGCGTCCGTCAGTGGCTTCCCATTGGCTCGCTTGAAAAAGGAAACGTCAGAATCCTTTTCAACCAATGGCGATTGGAGGACAATATACCAGGAAAACCGGTTTTGAGAGTTGTCACACGACTGAAACCTCCGTATTTAATGTTTGGCACGGTGCAGGACCGAACATCAACCGGCGAGTGCGAAATAGGCCGAATCTGCCGTCATTTTACGAAAATCAATGATAACTTTACGGCTGGTGCAGAAACCACTCCGATGGATATTTCTACAAACATCTCCGGTACTTTAGCGACTAACAATGAATCCGTTCCGACAAACTTTGAGGACAAATGCTGCACCGGGCTTATCATTGATCTATTGGAAAGGCTCGAGGCCGACGTCGAGTTCGAAAGCAAAATTCACCTTGTAAAGGATGGAATGTTTGGAAGCAACGACCCGAAAACCCGACGATGGAATGGCATGATAGGTGAGCTTGTCAGAAACGAGGCTGACATGGCGGCGTCGACACTTACGATCACTGCTAAGCGATCCAAAGTTGTGGACTTCACATTCCCATATGTGGACATTGCGAATGGAATATTGGTTTCTGCGCAACCAGCGTCGCATGGCGTTTGGGACTTTGTCTTTCTGGATACATTCAGTGGATCTCTTTGGCTCGTTTTATTCATTGCGATTCAGGTAATTAACGTATCGATGATATTGTCCCGGGTTTGGTTGTACGGTCCGGTCTAATTGATAGTTTCAACACTGTCAACTGCGCATTCGACTTATCTAATGCTTTGTTACCTTTGCTCTTCTCTATGTTTTTGTAAATTGGAATACTAGTAACATGGGATGTATGTTACCCGGAGTTTTAAAATGGGTAGAAAAAAATTCGGCGACTTTCCAAATTACTATATAAAATAAATTGTATAACGATTCCACAAATTCCACTAGAGGTATTTCAGTATTACTATTTATTTTCGTACCACGAGAAGTGGCACAATATCAAATCCAGTGAGCACTAGTTATGAATAGAATTAGGGTTCGTTTAATTAAAGGTACAGTAAAAATCACTGGATGTAAAAAAATTATGATGTTTATATGAAATTGCACCTTTAAAACATTAGCCTAAGTTGCCTAGGTATATATATTAATTAAATCTACCGCATTTGTTTTCTCTAGATTGTCATAGGCTTACTATGGTTAGCCGAAAGTCTTCGCAAGCGAAGGAGATTCCTCAATTTTCCACACAAGCGAGACAACTCTATCAGCTGTGCTCAAATTATCAACTACACGTGGTCGCTGGTGTTCCAGAAAGCTTCAGAGGAGGTGGGGCCAAATACACTGGGGGGTAGGACTGTGGCTGCATTTTTTGCGTTCTGTACTATCATAGCATGTAGTTCCTTCACAGCAAATTTGGCTGCCATTAAAGTGACAACGAAAGAAGGGATTAGCATCAGTGGAATTCAAGACAAGAAGGTATTTAAAAGTGTTGTTCTGCTATGGCACGTATTTCGGTTCTTCGGGAAGAAGGACTAGGTCAAGGAAACAAAATTTCTCAGTCTATAATCTCCTTGAAGAAACATGGCTACATACATGGCTACAACGTACGTTTCTAAGTTTGTACAACGTCGGGAAACATGGCAAAGAAACTCGATAAACAAAGCTAGGAAACAATGTTAGCCGCCAGTTTTTACATCTTCAGGAAACAGGGCTAAGATGCGTTTCAGATTTACCCAATTTACCCAAAACATGGCTAAAAACAATGTTTCTTGGTTTGTCCATCTTTAGTAAGCATGGCTAGGGAATGTTTTTTGGTTTATTCAAATTCGGCAAACTCGGCCAGGAACAACTTTCAACTGGGAAACATGATTAACCACTTATGAGAAATATGGTTTGCTTCTTTCGAGATATATAAGGCTAGGTTTGCCCAAATGGCTGCAATCATGATTAAAAAACAATATTTCCTGGTTTTCGTACGCAGCTTCAAGAAACATGCCTAGGAAACTTTGTCACTTTTCCATCAATGTCTCCTAGTTTGCCCAGCCTTAATTAATTAATATTTTTATGATCGTGGTGTTACAACTCAGGCAGTGGCAGCCATGACATGGTCATATTGCGCGGGTACTATGCTAATAAACGTAAACTCAGATGATCTAAAGAGAATACATTTCTAGAGGTTTGAATAATTTAAAATTTGCATAGCATGACGAGTTATAGCTGAACTCAGGTATGATTATATTTCTTACCATTTAGTTTCAAAATGGCGAAATAACATTTGGGACGCTGGCGAATTCTGCAAACCTGGATTTCTTTAGAGACAGTACCGACCCGTCATTTCAACGAATTTACAAACGAATTAAAGGAAACGTTGTTTCAACTTATGAAGCTGGTGCACAGAAAGTAATTTCTAGGCAAGAACTGATTTTTTAAATCTGTTATAACTTCATTTATACCTGACAGTTCTGAAGACTGAACAACATGTTCTCTCTAAGTGTCTATATAAAGGCCTTCTCCAAGTTGACCGCCTTACTATACACGCGGAGTCTAAACTAACTTTGTTTATGCTGGATATCTCACTCTGTTACTCATATACTGCACGGTACTGTACTGCAAGCGCATGTCTTCCCAAACACAAATGTACAATGCCAACATTTTGCAATGAATTTACTCAAACCTTCTCCATTTCCTCCCACATTTGCAATTGTCTCCTTGGTTTTGCGGACGTTCCTCGAGGGTTGGAGCGATAAGAACGTCTTCCATAAGAACCTCAGAATTTCTTTGCTTTTCTTTAATATTCTTTTCCATGTTTCGCATGCCAATCTTACTACAGCAAAAAACATAATTAAATTCAATCAGTTTATTTATACTGGATAGAATTAAAAAAGGTTACATACATTTGTCAATGTGTAATTTCGACCATGTTTTAAATTAATATTGAACTTTTAATATTGCACCCGATATCAGGATTTCTCCATCAGTCCTAAAGTGCTCTGACCAGGGGTTCGATAAGGTCGATCTTTCATAAGAAGCTTTATTCTTTCAGTTCTGTCTCCAACCTGGCAACCCCGAGGTTGTTCTGTTTCAACCTAGGTCAAATAAACGGACTGTCCTGCTTGTGTATTTGCCCAAGGGTAATAGAGAAGGAAACTAGACTAAACAAATTTTATATAGTGAAAGGCTCCATCACTAATAGTGAGGCCTCCCTAGGGCTCCAGTAAGCCTATTGGCTTATTAGTCTACTGGCGCACTCAAAGTGAAACTTGACAATCTTTTTACATGTGGCTCCATTAGTTATAAACTATTCTATACCTAGGAATTAAAATCAGGTTTTCTATTATAACTTTAATAAAAGATTTATGCATTTTACTTTATAGAGAATGGACAGCGTATATAGCTGATACGCCACAACTTGCCCATCTGGTTTCTAAGCAAAGTGACTGTGGTTTAAAAATAACAGGCGATCCTTTCTTCTTCTCCGGCTACGGAATTGCTTTAAGAAAAAACTCAACTTGGAATACTCGTCTATCACTTGAAATTACTACTCTTGTTCGAAAGGGATTTATCTCAAAGTTACAAGCCAAGTGGCTGGCGACCGGTTGTGAGAATAAGCAAGACCCAGAAACAGAAAAGATGGGACTTGATGATATTGGCGGAGCATTTCTCATTGTGAGTTTTGGGTGTATTGCCAGTGGGATATTATTGTTGCTCGAACATGTTGTATGGTATGTGCTTAATAGAAAAGAGATGATGGAAGCAAATGAGGCAAGAAAGAAGAAAAGTGTGGATCATGCTTTTGGTGCTTTGGTAAAGGTAATGAAATTAGCGATAAAGTTATGATAATAGTGGTAATAGTTATGGTTGTGGAGGGAAGTGGTAGTTTTGGTGATGATGGCGGTAGTGGTGACAGCGAAAATGGTTGTAATGATGATGATAATGGTGGTGTTAATGGTTTTTGTGATAATGGTAAAGCTTGTTGTGTTGGTGATGATGGTGTTGGTGTTGGTAGTTGTGGTAATTGCGACGATGGTGATAATATAATGGTTGTATATTGATGATAATTATGGTGGTGGAATAGTGAAGGTTGTGGCATTGGTGATGATGATAATGATGCTGGTTGTAGTAAAAGTGGTGGTGGTGGTAGTGAGGGTCCTAATAATGACGATGGTGTTTATGAATGGTCTATGATAAGGTCCATGGTTACGGTTGCAATTACGGTTATGGTTATCGTTATGTTGATCAGTGGTGCCTAAATTACTTTGAATTTGTACTCGAGTAAAAGTAGAAGTAATTGACAATAAAACGACTTGAGTAAGAGTAAAAAGTACTGGAGGCAAAACGTACTTAAGTAAAAAGTACAAAGTAACCTTAAAAAATACTTGAAGTACAAAGTATAAGTAAAAGTACTATTGTCTGTAGCGTGTAGGGGGGCTTCTCCATTGATGGATTGAGATAAAAAAAAAACCCACAAAACAGCACACGTATTATAAATATGCAATATTTCACGACATGGTCTACTTTCCAGACCCCGTTGAAGATATAAGAAACCCATTAAATAAATAATACTTATAAGTAAGCCACAAACGAGAGATCCCAGACGCATGTAGAGGTCCTATTACCTATCCCAAAATTAAAGTAAATCATGTAAAATTAAACAAAAGTTAGAAAGTAACGAAATACTTCGCCACAAAATGAAAATAACGAAGTAAAACGTTACTTCTTAAAACGACTTCGTTCCACGTAAAAGTACTCCAGAAAAAGTTTAATTTGTTACATGCTAACTTCTCAAAAATAGTACTCAAGTACAGTAACGAAGTACATTTACTTCGTTACTTGACACCACTGATGTTGATGTTGGTGATGATGATGATTCTGGTAATAATGGTGTAGGTGGTAATGATTGTGGTAGTGGTGAAGAGAATAAAATAGCGGCGGTTGAAATAGGTTTAAAGTGAGCAGTATGTCTGATAACCGTTTATTAATTTTATGTTAAGGAAATTAAGTAATTTTATGAAAAGTTATTTTGAGGATTTATTTGAAAATTATATGCTGTTCATTGCGTGCTGATAAGAAATTTGATGCAAATTTTCCAGGTTTTCACTTTGTGGGACATTACAAATACAACGCAACCTCAACCACCAATGGAAGCTACATTTACGAGTTTCGAAACACTGGATACACACCCAAGAAACAGGCAAGAAACATTCCAAAACAGCACACAAGAAAATGAACATTGATTGACCTTGCAATTACTAGCCGTGGCCTCGAGTCGGTAATCCTAGCAAGCAGCTGGTTGCTTCGCTCAAAATGGCGTGCAAGCGATTTGAAGATGAAAAACATATTTAGATTTCTTCAACGATCATTGGAATTTTCAAGCAACAGGGCAGAACGATGCTGTATGCCTATGCTGTATAGGCACTATAAGCATGATCTATGGGATTATAGATCAAGCTAATGCTTCGAACTAGACTAAAACGTCAATCAAGGCCAAGGAAGATCTGTAAAATTTCTCACTACTTTTTACCGGAGGGGCTGCTTTGATTTTAATATATTCAATTACTCGTAGTCTGAACTCAGCCCTACTCTTTGCTGGCTTACATTTTAAGGACGAAAAGGAAAGCCTGAGTTAAAATTGTACCCATCGATGGAAATATTCAGAAATCTAATATATTCCAATCAAAAACAAAAGCTCGGTGTCACGTTTGGCGCTATATAAACGATTGTATTAATTAAAGCTAGGGCAATGGCAAGATCCTACTGCACATCGAAAATATGCGCAAAATGAGAAAAATAAAAATTTACAAATTACGAAACCGTAACAATCAACACTGCGGAAAAACGTCTGCGCATGTGTGGGGCACAAAAAAGATGGCGAGGAATTTAAATGCCAAATTGTAAACAAAAACATGGCTACTTAGTGATTTAAGGTGTTTGAAATAGACGGGTAGTTTAGATATGAATACTAGAAAATACATGCATGCAGACACCCTGGCCTCGCGTTGCTGACAAAACTATTATATTTATGACAAAACTATTGTCCCTATTGCAAGCTTAATTACCGTGACCGTGCACAAATTAACATAAACTCAGACAAAAACATATAACAAACACTTCTGTTTGGTTTCCAGACCACCACACCTTGATAGACTATGGATAGCGCTATGCATTGGGTAGCGATTGTTTGAAGCCTTCTAAAACTTGCTAGATCTTTGCATAACCCAAATTAAGTTATATTATTAATAAATTGGAGTTTCTTTTATTATCTTTAGCCTCTATATCAATAGTTTTATAGTTTTTAAAACATTTTTATGCCGGTTGAAAATTTGACTATTAGGTGAACTTGTACAACCGGCCCCTGGTGAACACAGCAAAAACACGCATTTTTTTAATTTTTATGAATATTCGCACTTGGTCGACTCCATACGCTATTCCTCTGTATGTATTTGCTTCTTTCGCTTCCGGAACAGCCTTTATAGACTATTCTGAACTATAGTTGATGCTTACATGAAGCATTCCATTGTGTAACGTGGAGATTGGAGATCGGAGAAAAATGCTGACCGAAACCTATAGTCGCCCTCCCAGCGACTAATTAGGTAAACACATGGTAGCCTCGGTTTCTTTTGTTTCAACAGGGACGTTTAATCACGTATTTCCCTCATTTCCCATGCATACGCTTTTATCTTCTAAATTTCCCCGGGAAACGGGGATATTTAGTTGAAAACAAAGGATTTCTTTACCTTCTAATTTTCCCCTGCATGCATGATGAGGGATATTTAGAAGACAAAAGCTACGTACCTCATTACCTCTGATTGGAGAGCTGTACCTCATCGAAAATCATCGGCACAACTATGGACAGTATCCAGCGACACCGTCCCGTACACATTTGAACAATCACTTTGTCAGCTTTTATTCCCTAATCTTGAACATTTCAATTGTGGGAGAAAATTCCGTTTATGCCTAAAACGAATGAACACGGAGATGTGTTTCTGCGCGTGCGTATATATGAAAAGTGTTCGTACCACAATCATAAGACAATCAAACAGCATTAAAAACAGGCAACACACCACGCGCGATTTCCTCGGCTACCATGTATTTACAAACTAAACGCATGCTTTCGGAGGGAAATTTGTGATCAAAGCCCCGTTTACACTACGCTTAATTTTTGGTACGGCACGGATAAAATTGATACCGGTACCACTTTTTTGGTTCTTGGACTACCTATTTAGCTAAGCCCCGTTTACACTACGCTCAATTTTTGGTACCGTACCACTTTTTGGTTCTTGGACTATCTAAATAGGTAGTCCAAGAACCAAAAAAGTGGTACGGGTACCAATTTTATCCGTGCCGTACCAAAAATTGAGCGTAGTGTAATGTCCCCGCAAACTTCGGGAGGTTTAGTAAAAGTCCCGAGGGCGTGATGGACGATTTCAACCCCGGTGTTGAAACGTTATACTATACGTTCTCGGCATCGATTCGCGGAAGTAAAAAAGCCTTTATTTTGTTTTCTTGTAATAAGGGACCGGTCATTATTTATGGCGGGGGGTGGCACCGAAGAGAAAATGGTTGGGTAAACTAAATTTTGAGTAAGTAAAAGGTTGGGTAAATGAAAAACAAAACAACTCAAGGGTTGGGTAATAAAAAGTTATAGTCGTATGTCAATACAATATGTGAATCAATCAGTCACTGTCTTGATCATTTTCCAATTTGTTAGAAGACAAATTAATGGTGTCTCCAAAGAAAGCACATGTGCAGACAACATGATACATTAAACTGCAGCAAATTAATTTCACAAGCTGAGTTATCAAACTCCTGTCACAGAAATCGGGTAAAGGACATATGTGACAACTGAATGGTAACCTTTTGTAAAGTTTAATTTTGGCCAGGGGTGGGTATTTATTTTTTACTTGATATTTGAGGTTGGGTAATCAAATTTTTGACTTTTTAATGGTTGGGTCAGCAAAATTTCTGCCACGAAAAACATTTCTCTTCGGTGCCACCCCCCACCATAAATAATGACCGGTCCCTAAATAGTCACTACCACGCATGCTCGAATAACTCATTATTGTACCGAATCGTCTCGATACACTCGATATATATTCGATTAACACACTCAACTCATTGTTTTATATTTTCTTTAATACAAAGAACCAAAAACTCTCCTTAATACAGACGAACAACTCACTCTCTCCCTCTCTCTCAAAAAAAACCATGTGCTTCACTTCCGTTTTCCTGGAAAACGAAGCCTACTAAATTCCTAGTATTAGTTCGATCAATTTACTTCCGGTTGCGTAATGTCTACTGTTCGACAAGTCCGTTCATTATAATTTCAGCCCTGGGTTGAAACGATTACATGACAAAATTTTCAACCCAGGGCTGAGTTCAACCCCGGGGTTGAAATTTCAACCCTGATAGCTGAAGCAGCTTTATTAGGAACTTAATATATTACATTAATAAGGTACAAATACAACAAACATGCAGTTCCTAAACGGGAAAATAACGAACGGGCCATAATAGCCCATGCGAGGCTACCTCCCGATTTGACTTCTGTAGACATTTGCAAATTTACATAAAATTAAAAATTTAAAATCGTTGAAAGCACGTTTACACACATTCAGGCCAAAGTGATAGGACCTATGTTAAAATAATTCTTTGTAAGCCAGATAAAACGTCATTTGGTGGCATCAATCATAAAATAGGTACCCCGACCGGTCGTAATGCGTAAACGTGCTTTAACTCCTGTGACAAGCACAGTCTCTAACAACTGACCAAGTACATGTCAAATTTGCATAAAAAACATTCAATAAAAGTTCATTATAATGATTGATTAAGAACGTTTTAAAAGTGGTGACACTAGTAAAGCTGCTACATGTGGCAACTTTGCATATAGAGTTCCATATCTTTACAATTCGATTAAAAAATGAGGCCTGAAATGTAGTTGTTTTACAATATGGTATTTTTAAAACAAGGGTGGAATTACTACTGAGACGTGTTCGCC